TCGATTGATTGATTGATTGATTGATTGATTGAAGAATTGATTTCCATGATTGCTCGATTGACTGCTTGATTGATTGAAGAGTTGATTTCCATGATTGCTCGATTGACTGCTTGATTGATTGAAGAATTGATTTTCATGATTGCTCGATTGACTGCTTGATTGATTGATGGATTGATTGATTGATGGGTTTGATTGATTGCTGGGTTGATGGTGTGATTGATTGATTGTTGATTGATTAGGTTGGGTTTGTTTAATTAGATGGTAGAGTAATTTGTTGGATGATCGTTGGACTCTTGGAATGACGACTGCATGGACGTGGGGGTCGCCCTCATCGACTGCGAGGAGGTGCCTGGTTAAAGTGAATGTTCAGCTTGATTGCTGAGCTGTCGAATGTGCCGTTGGATTTTGTGTTCTTCATGTATACATCAATCAGCAGACTGGATATCCGTCGGGGAGGCATCTTCCTGACTCGATCGGCTTGGTTAATTGATTGATTGTTTGATTGACTGGTTGACTGATTTATTGGTTGATTTATTGATTGGTTGATTTATTGATTGGTTGGTCCGTTGATTGGTCCATTGCTTGATTGCTTTTGTTTGATTGATTGGTTGATTGATTAACTGGTTCATTTAGTGATATAGATTTACGAGTTCAATTTTTCACTGTCAACTGACCGGTTAATTGACTTTGAGAATTTTTTACCCATACAAAAAAAAATAAAAAATTTGACGCCCTTGGCTGCTGAGCTGGCATGAACGTCCGAATGGTTGACGTAGATTGTACGGAATTTTCTGTCTTTTGTTTTTCTTTCTTTTTTTTTCCTTTCGAAATTGAAGTCTTAACTGACTGAGGTTAGTATTGAGGATTCCCGGCCTCTTCCTTTGGTTTGCGTAATCAAATGAGCTGAGTCTTTTGTTAAAAAAAAAAAAAGAGGTTAGTAAAACTTTTCGTCTATTTGCGCGCCGTTGGTTGAGCGGGAAAAAAACGATTTTTTTTTTCATTTTTTTTTGTTTTGAAAGAAACTAAGCTTTGATTACCAATGTAAAAAAAAAAAAAAAAAAAAAAAAAAAAAAAAAAAAAAAAAAAAAA